CTGCGGCCGCCGGGCGAGCAGCAGACCCACGAGGCTGCCTCCGAAATAACTCCCGGAGCCCGAGCACCGCTTGGCTGCTCGAGTTTCGAGTTTCGAGGCCCTTCCCGGCCAGCGTCTAGCCTTGTAGGTGCACCAGATTTCGGGGAGGTGGAAAGAGAGGGCGCCTGCCCCCCAATCACAGTGACTTGGAAACAATTAGCAAAGTTTTTAATTAGTTTCTTGTTAGCATTCATTTTATTAATTTCCAGAAGTCTCAGGCCATGAATTATTCAAAGGGCAAGCCAACCTGAGCCATGCGGCCGCGCGCCCCGCCGCTCGTTCCAGGCCCGCCCCAGGCCGAGCCGCCCGCCCGCCCGCGGCCCCGGAGGGTGGGAACCAGCCGCAGCCAGCGGTGGTGGCGCAAAGGTTTGATCAAATATTAAATAATGTAATTATTGCGACAAGGCTTATCTTGCAGGTGGAAAGAATCCCCCGCCCACACACACACACACACACAGCCCGTGAGAATTCGAATTTGAATGCGATTTTTTAAAAATCAATTAAGCTTGCGGTCTCCTTTGAAACCTCCCAGACTTACTGGGTAGCTGTCACTGAGGGGGTGAGGCCACGACGGCGATAACACGGATGAGCAGAACCATGTGAGATATTCGCTGTCAACACCTTTACCACCCCGCTGGCCACCAAGGCCAGTTTGGGCGGGGATGGGAGACTGCTTTGCGCCAGGGTCAGAAGTTGCAAATCCAACCTCATGGACTGGACTACGAAAGCCCATCCACGTGAGAGATGGAGCGGAAACGCTTCGCGCAAGGTTGGCGGGGGAGGCTGGGGCCAAGGGCGGGGGCTGATCAAGACAGTCCCGGGCTCAGGGCGACCTGCCCTGTCCAGGCGCAGGCACTTGCAGGAACAGGGCCAAAGTACTTTTTCACAAGAAAGTAAAAATCGATACAATCACGGCAGTGGGTGCCTACGGTTTATTTACGAGAGTGTAGTCGAAATTGAGAGCGATTTCCGAACACGCATGAAACAAAAATCTATCCAGAAGTTCGCAGATGTGTGTCGAGGACACCATTCCTTAGACACACAGAAAGAGCAAGGCCCAGAGTGAGGACTGGGGAAGAGAAAATTTAAAACGAACGGAAGGCACAAACTTGGCAGGTGTCTTTCAAGTGTCTTATCTTTCTTTTGGCTTTCCTACGTTCTTTCGGCCTGGGTTTCCCGAGAAGCTGAAATGCAGACGGAAAATAAGTCTCCCACTTTCTCCAATTTATTTGGAGATTGTTGTTTGAAATAACCGGAGGCACACATGGCAACAATTCCACCCACTGCCTGGTGCTGCGAATCCGCTCAGAGTGTAATTCCACTCTTCAGCACCTGAAAACTTTGAAAGCCTGACTACCTCTGCGTGGCAAGCCTTCACACTCTCCTCCAGGAGGACATCTGGGTGCCTGCTGGTTCGTTCACGGACTGACGGCGTTGCCTTAGACCAGCCGTACTACTCCTGCCGGCGGTATACAGATTCACTCACCAGACAGTGAAGCGTTTACTGTTTTGCACAGTTTCCTACTACAGAAAATAGGAAACTCTGCAAAGCATGTATTCTCATAATCTGTTTTATTGACATAGTGCTGTCTTTTCGTTTGGTAAGGGTTTTACTTAATACAGAACAAATGTTTACATTCTTATTACATACACTGGCCATATTATATAATACAAAGGTATTTGCAACATTTCATTCAGGGGGTATTCTTTTTTAAGCAGCCTTTGTAAATCTTTCCATCTGTTTATTCCTGGTTCTCCAACAATGAAATTGGTCATACTTTTCTATAAAATAACGTGGGTTTTTTTTACAAATACATTTTATTAAAAACTGATGACATTTTGAGTCAACAACAGAAAAAGTCAATTTCGATGGACGAGATCTATTTTTTTAAAATACCTCTAAATGCTTTCTTTAAAAAAAAACATTCACACCTTTAAAAGCACAGCTTTTTAAATGCACTCTTCTTTTTGGAACACCCAGTGTTTGTTTCACAGATTTGCCGGTGAAATTAAAAAGGTCTGGCTAGTGTCACATGACTTCGGAAGACGCACTCCCGGCTCTGAAGAGACTCCGGACACTTGGCATGTGACCCAGGCCTAGGCCACTACAGAATGAATCTCTGGTCCCTTTGGAGCAAGAGGTGGCACACGACCTGATCCAGATAACACAGGCATTTGTCATGGGGGTGGGACAGATTAGTGGGTCGTGTCTGCGTTCACTACCTTCCAGAGAAAAGTCATTTAGTAACATTTTTTAAAGGAATGTTTTTAGGCCAGACAAAACATACAAACCTCCAAAGGTCTCTCTCCCTGAACCTCAATTTAAATATTTTTGGGGGGTGCCTGGTTGTTTCTGAGCTTCCACCACTCTGAAGTGAAGGCTGTAGTTTAAGAGTTTCTGCAGTTAGAAAAAAATGTTTCTGATACACACAGGCCACTAATATAGAATTCATTTTTTATTCAGAGCACCACTTTTCACATGAGTCGTCTGAAAGTGAATTCTGATTCAGCAGAAAAAATACATCATTCTCACCATTTTCCCTCTTTTCATCCCCCTCTTAACAACCCCCCCGACCTGTATTTTTGGTTGAAGGCTGAAGTGAGTCTCCTTTGCTGACCAGCTCTACCAGGACTTGGCCTAACAGACACAAAAATGCACCCAAATGATAAAACTGCTCTTCTTTCAGTTCCGTTTTATTTGTAAGTGTACTGGGACACATCCCCCTGCTGTATTTTGGCTCACAGAAATGGTTCTGATAGAAGTGGGAAGGGGGAAAGGTAATAAGAGCAAAGACGTCGTAACCCAGGAGAAAGCTCAGCAGACACACATGGACAGGTCGATCGATCCATGAGACATTTCAGGAATAACACGGGCGGTCTGTAACCACTGTGTGTGTGTGTGTGTATGTGTGAAAGAAAATATTTACAATAATCTTCCTTTTATTTTTCCTCTAAATACAAGAATATGACAAGAATGCTGTGTTTTCGGTGAAAACAGGCAGTAGACTGTGAAGTCACACCATCCACAAAACGGTCTATCAGAAAGCTCGCCCAGTTTAGTGCTCGGTTTCAAATGCATAGAATGTTTGCGCTGCAAACAATGATATACAACGTAATTAAATAAACAATGTCTAACCAGAGTGAGACCTAATTGTGTTTCTTTCCACACTCTTCAGATCATGCATGATTTTAGTATTGTTAAATGGCAGGGTTTTATTTTTCCTCAGTCATTTCTTCTGTTTTCAATTTTTTAGTTCTTATTAAAGGATGGTAATAAACCATCTCCACATGAGATCAAAAGAGTATCTTGTACACCACGCAGGCATTTTACCTAGCCACCTTCGACTGTCTTTCTCATTTTTGAATCCATCAGCAGTTCATAAAATACCTTGATTATAACTATGAAATACTATACATGATTTCCTATTAGGGGGGCTGGTAGTGCAAATTAAAGTTCTTGCTACCCAACATTTATCCCCAGCAATAAATTACTTTTGAATAATAATAATAATAACAATAATAATAATAATAATGAAATACAGTTATTCTGCTTCCCCCCCAACATGCAGACCCTTTTGAAACAATGGAGGACTTTAAATCTTTCTCTCCTGTGGGACTTGGTTGACTTTCCACACAGTCGAGTCCTGCTGCAGCTGAAAGCAGAAACTTCTCCAGGTGTCAACAATTCCGTGTTCTCCAAGGGAGAAGGAAAAGGGACCTAGAAGCACTCGATGGGCCTTGTTCTGTGGAGTAAAAGGGGCAGAGTCTCTCTCCTAGTGTTTTCCACCCGTCAGTCTATTTGAATCAATAGGAAATAAAATTCAGTAGGTAGTTTAAAATAAATGACACTCAGAGAAATAAATGAAGGGGTTAGCAAGTGCTGAGTGTGGGAGGGGAGCTGGTTTTGAAGTACTTTTCTAGATCTTAGATCTAAGAGCAAAAACAAAAAGAAGGGAAAAAAACCTTGTTAAAAAGTGTCTTACTCTCCTAGAATAAAATGTTTCTTTTGAAGCTCCTAAATCCTGCCTTTTAGTCAACTCAAAGACTATGCCTCCCTCTCCCTAAACACCCACCCAGCTGGACTCAGGCTACAGGAACACAGAGCCCAGGTCACTGGAAAAGGTGGGCTCCGTCTAACAGGTAGTTAAGCTCCCCACACCCTTTCAGCTGTCCCCCCACACCCCCTTTCTGGTAAGGGGAGAGCAGCATCCACTCTCTTTGGAACCCAGAAAATAAATAAAAGAGGACGTGGGGCGGGTAGAGGTGAGGCTCAGAGGGAAAAAATAAACACACACAACTAGCTGCACTTCCCAGCACCTCACCTTCAGTTGGTTCGGGATTTCGTTTCTCAGCTCATGTGTGTGGGGTTGGGTCAGTGGCAGTCATGGTGGTGGCTCTCGTCTCTCTTCCTCAGGGGAGGAATGAAGCTGCAGAATACTGCTCCCTGGAGTTAAATTCTAAAGCATGTTTTATTTGCTTTTGTTCTGTTTTGTTTTAGTTTTTCTTTATGTGTTTAGTTTTGGGTGGTTGGTAGGTTTGTTTTTGTACATCGTTCCTTGGTCCCCGGGAGATTTTGATAAATGTCTCTGGTCCGAAACAGTCCATTTCCCTACCCTTTCCGAGTCTCCCCCCTCCCACCCCAACCCCCAGCACCATCCTGCTCCTCAAAACCCTCCTCCAGTCTCACTTTCCTTCCCCCTAATCCCTGCTCACCCAAATGCTCCCTCTTTTCCCGCTAGCCTCTCCGGTGTCCACACCCAGCACCCCAGTGCTCGAGGCTGGAGGAGGGTGAGCGCAGGAAGAGCATAAAGAGAACGCTGGAAGAGGGATTCTCCAAATGCAAGCAGGATAACGCACACTCCAAATCCGGGGGGGAAGTAGGCCCGCGAAAAGCTCCCCTCCCCGACCCCGCAAGGCCCCTTCAGCTCCCCGATCTGCCCCGCCGGCACATCCCACCCCCCTCAGTAAGTGGCGGAGAATTTCATCCGCTTCTGCTTCTGTCTCTGGTTGCAAAACCACACCCGCACCACGTTCTTTTTGAGGTCCAGTTTCTCGGCGATGGCAGCGATCTTCTCTGAAGAGGGCCGCGGCTGTACTGCGAAGTAGGCCTCGAGGGAGCGCTTCTCCGGCGCTGCGATGGAAGTCCGCTTGCGTTTCTTCTCACCGCCGTTGAAGAGCTCGGGCTTGTTCATTTTCTCCCGCTGCGCACCCTCGGCCTCCTCGAGCCAAGCCTGCAGGATGGGCTTGAGCGCAATCATGTTGTTGTGCGAGAGCGTGAGCGACTCGAACCTGCAGATGGTGCTCTGGCTGAGCGAGCCCACGCCCGGGATCTTGAGGTTGGCCAGCGCCGAGCCCACGTCGGCCTGCGTCACGCCCAGCTTGATGCGCCTCTGCTTGAAGCGCTCCGCGAACGCCTCGAGCTCGCGCGGGTCCGTGTCCGAGTCGCAGATGGACGCCAGGCCCGCTGCGCCCACCACCGCGGCCGCCGCCGACGCCGCCGCCACCTGCCCGGCCGCCGCCGCCGCTGCCGCCGCCGCCGCGCCGTGGTGTGCGGCCGCCGCCACCAGCCCGGGGTGCGGCAGCCCCGACGGCATGTTCATGGCGGCCGCGGCCGCCGGGTGCGACAGGTGGCCCAGGCCGTGCATGTGCGGATGCGGGTGCGCGGAGCCGCCCAGCAGCCCGCCGCCCGGGCCGCCGCCTCCACCCCCCGGGCCGCCGCCGCCTCCGCCGCCACCGGGGCCGCCACCACCGGGGCCGCCGCCGCCTCCCGGGCCACCGCCACCCCCCGGACCGTCGTGGGCGCCACCGCCGCCGCCCGCCGAGCCTGCGCCGCCCGCGCCGGCCATGAGCGCGAGCGAGGGGGACGAGATGTGGTCCAGCAGGTCGCCGGGCTCGAGCGCCTGGTGGTGGTGGTGGTGGTGGTGGTGGTGCGCCAGCGGCACGGTGGACGTGGACGTGCACGGCACGCTGTTCATCGTGTGGTACGTGGCGTCCGGCTTGAACGGGTGGCTCTTGCCCTGGGACACAGCGATGTCCACAGCCGCCAGCGCCTCGGCCCGCGCCAGCAGCGTTTCGTCTAGGCTGGCGAAGAGGTTGCTCTGCAGCTGCAGGCGACACAAACCAAACCAAAAAGAAAAACCACAAAACCGAAAAGCAAAACACAGAACAAAACAAAACCACACACAAGCCGGCAAGCACAACAAGTAAAGAACAAACACAAAGCAACCAAAACAACAACAACGGGGGTGGGGGTGGCAGAAACCGGGAGACACGGAATGGGGACACGTTGGGGACGAAGACGGGGACAGAGGAGCAGGGAAGGGAGCGTGGCGAGGAGTACAGACGTGGGGAGACGGGGACACAGGGATACATTCCGGGAACGAAAAAGGAAGGGAAAGAAGAAGAAACGGAGATGTAACTCGCATCCGGAACCCGCGTCGCGCACCGAGCACGCAGAGATCGCCTCTCCAAGGCGAGAAATTAACAGAGAAAGTGGAACAAAGTCGAGAGCCGTGGCCCCACCGATCCCCACTTTGACCGCAGGTGCCCGACACGGAGGCGGGGGCGACAGGAACACGACATTAAGTGCCACTGTACAAAATGCGCCAAGCAGCGGGATTCCTCTAAAAACCCCTGCCCGCAAGTGCCCGCACCGGGACCTTTGCGCACACCAGCACCCGACATGCAGCGTCTCCGAGACGGGGAGGGGGCGAGTCTGCGGGCCGGGGCCGCGAGCGCGGGGCGCTTACCGGCGGCGTAGGCAGGCAGGCCCGCCGGATGGCCTCGGAGCTGGAGTGCAGCGATGGGTACTTGTGCTCGGGGAGGGTGGGATGCATGGCAAAGTGAGGCTGCTTGCTGTTCATGGACATCATCTTGATGGCTTGGCTTGTAAATCCACAAACACTCCGAAAGTCCCCGGGAAAGTGCGCGCGCCGGCTCCCCCGGCCTCCCTTTGGAGGCTGCAACCGCGGCGGCTGCCGGCTCGGAGGCGGTGGCCGCGCGGGGGCTGCTGCTGCCGCCGCTGCCTCCTGGCGCTCCCTCTGGCCGCGCAGAGCGCCGCGCACCGGCCTCGCGATCCCACTTCTCCAAGAGCTCTAGCCCCGCGCGCGGACGGGATGGACTCCTCTTACACCTGAGCCCCACTTCTCGCGGCCGGGCCGGGGAGCTCTCGCGAGAGCTCGCGGCCCCGCCGCGCTGACGGGCAGCAGTTGTCCTCGTCGGGGTGACGCGCGCCCTCCCGCTCGGCGGCGCCGGGCGACTGCGCGCGCGCGCGCGCGCCAGCCCAGCAGCGACCGGCGCGTGGGAGCCGCTCTTATAGTGACCACCAGCAAGGACAGCGCAGGTGATGCACCTGTGGCTGGCCGGGCATGCGCACTGCGCGCCGCACCTTTCCCACCGCGGGTCGGCGGAGATCAGAAGGGCCAGCTATTGTCTGCGGGTGGCACCTTCGCAGCCGAGCAGGGCGAGAGGTTCGCACGCAGCCGCTCGGGCGCCCCTCTCCTCGCGGACCCCGCCCCAGCGCGAGCCCGGAATATAAGCGCGCTGCTTTGGCACACCTCCTCCCCGGGATGTCTAACAAGCTGTTATATAATGTATACAGCGGGGCATTTGTATGTTAAATTATGCCCGCGCATTCCTCTGTATACAGAATAAATCACAGCACGGGAATGCAGAAGGTGCTGTCTTTGGCTGCAAGAACCTGTTTCTTTCAAGGTTTATAAACACGTTCCCGGAGAATAATCGCGGTGACAGACGTTCGTTTGAAGCAGTCAGACGCTATTGATTTCCATATAATTTAATTTCCTTTGCGCACTTCGTTGCTGTTGTTTCGGTGACTGGAGCCGTGTCAGGCGCCGACAGTGACAGCCACTTAGGAGCCGCAAGGAGCGCGCGCTTCCTCCTCAGGAATGGCTGTTAAAATGAAACTGTGCGTTTCTCTTATTCTTTGTCTCCTTTAACCGAGTTCAAACCCGCGTTTCGAACGAGCTCTGGGTGATCTGAGGCTTCTAGTAAACAAAAGGAGAAACAGTTAACAGGGTGTTGGGACCCTTTCCTCTCCCCCGCGTACACACACACGCACACACGCACACACTTTATCCTGAAAGCTCCAGGAAAAGGAAACCGCTTCAGAGAAAAGGGAATAAGATGCTGAATAGAGAACTTTCTTTTCCTTCCATCGTTTTGGCTTCTCGGCCATGGATGTCATTTTCTTCTGTAGGAGACAGGAGTAAGCCAGTTTACAGAAAAGCGTGATTGAAACACTTATTCAAACCAATTTGAAACAACGGGCCCAAGCCCTGGTCCTGCTTTTACAGTACTTATTTTTGTTGTTGTAAAGTCAAACCCTAAGAAGAAGAATAAATCAATTACCCATTCTATTACACGGCCCTCAAGTGGCGGGCAGATCAAGCGCCTCCGCGGGGACCACGGTTCAGACGCCAGAGTCCCCGGGGAGGCAGCGCCAGCCCGGGGTGATAATACCGGCCCAGATGTTGTCACATCTGGGGCGGGAGAGCTGCAGAGGGGTGAAGCGCTGCTCATGGGAGGCAGGGATCAGACAGATGATTTTTCTGGTCTCTCCCACACCAAAGAGATCTGCATTTCCACCAAAGAGCAGCTCTCGTTTCTACAAACCTAAATTTACGTTGGCGTTTATTTTATCTTTTCTCTGGACAAACCGCCTGTGTAGTTAGTATACCCACTCGCTACTCAAATTCCAAGAAGATCCCACAGGCGTCACCATGCCTTTTCCTTCCTTTCTTTTCTTCTCCCTCTGGCCCCCACCCCCGCCCCCTGCAGCCGGAGAGGGGAGTAAGAGGGATGTTCATTTGCTGGTGCAAGAAGGAGCCGCGTTGCCATCCATTACGCGGTCCCCTGGGAGTGCTAAATGCAACTTTATCTCTACGAGGAATGGACTGCGGGCAGGACATCGCTGGAGGGAGCGAGTGAGTCCCACGTAGTCCTCGCAGCGAGTGCCCAGGCTTAACCTAATCCTTCCTGACACCCTTCGAGGCAGTTCGCTGAGCTCTCCCTTGGGGGGAAGAAAGGGCCGCGCGGAGGGCGAGCCAGCGGTTGGATGCTGTGGAGCGCCCCAGCCCCCAAGGGAAACGCTGGCCTTTAGGGACCCTGAAGAGTGCAGGGGGACAGAAACGCAAACAGTAGAGATTCGGGCCCTGGGACCTCCAGAGCGCGAGGCGAAGCCCAGAGTACCCGAAGCTCGTCTCGGCTTACCTTCCACCGCTTGGAGGGTACCACAGGACCCTGCGGGGAGGCACCTGGCTTAAGGTCAGGAATTTACTGACTCGCGGAGACTCCCATCTTAGCTTATTGGACATGGGATCCCTACTTTTTGCCCAGAATATCTCGCTTTTTCTGGGGCTAGACACATGAGGGCTATGAGTACAGTGTTCAGCTCACTCCCCAACCGATTGATTGGAAGTCCATTTAGGTAGGGCACATCTGTGTTCATCAGGAGGCTTAGCAAGGGGCTTGTCAGGCAGCAAACATGCTCCATAAGACAATGCTCATGTGCAGGAAGGAAGAGAAGGCAGATGGGGAGGGTCAGAAGCAAAACGAGAGACTTCAACAAGCCAAGGCCAATGGGGAGGAGACAAGCAGGAAAATCACTGAAGGGGTCTCCTTTCGCCCTGCAAAGGAAACGGAGACTGGGCCACAGGGGCGTGCTGTCCTCACACAGAGCCGTAAATCTTCAGTCTAGCCAGTTCTCTTTCCAAAGTCAGTGATTGCATCCTTCCCTCATTTACTTTCTACCTTACCCTGCTTCCTGAAATGCATGCTGAGCATCAGTCCCGGCCAGGGCAAGATCGTGGAGTTACAAATGAGGTACAAAATATGGGTATCTGTCCTTCCAGAGGTGGCAGTCCCTGAGAGTGAGGGAGCTACAGGCGAAGAGGTGTTTGTGGTGCAGCGTGACAGGTGCAATGAGGGGGTTGTGGAGGAACATGGAGTGGGGTGGGCATGATGCTTTGGAGAACTGTTCTCCCATGTCCCTGCTGGGCCTCAGACCCGGGCCTGAGGGTGGAGCACTGTGGTGGGGCCGAAGGCAGCTCCTTGGACCCTCCCCAGTACTTACCCCCAAGGCAGTGGTGAAAGGAAGGGGTGGTGGACCGGGGCTGGCCCACCAGTGCGTCACTGCTTTGAGCTCCCTGTTTGGCAGTGCGGTAAGTTGGTGGCCCCTGACCGTACTAATGATGCCCGCATGGGGTGTGAGCCCTGGCATAGATTCCTGGGCAGGTTTTCCCCCTCCTTTTTCCTGTTTAATGACCAACCCAGATTCCTCTCTCCCTCCAATTCCTAGCTTTGCATTTTATCAGGAGGGGATAATGAATGCACAGCTATTGATTTCCAAGGAATTTCTGCCCCCCGGGGATAGAGAGTCTATCATCTGGATCAGAGACACATCTCTTTCCCTTATTAATTAATTCTCTCCTCCTTCGGCAAGCCCACTTAACATTGCCTTTGGCAGAACCTCTTTCACGAGCTCAGGGAGCAGACACTGGGTGGTCGGAGTGAGGACCAGAGACGGAGGCGCTGTGCAAGGGCCCGCACCGTTGGAGGTGACGTTCGCCTTTGACCGTCGAACCTCCCCAACCACACACACACACACACACACACACACACACACACACACACACACACACACACACACACACACACTTCGGGAGAGCGTTCCTGACAGCTGCTGGTCGCTGAGTTTGCCTTTCCCCTTCCAGAGGGACTAGGGGGAAAGTGGCCGCTGGACTCTGGAGCCGCTACCAGACTCTCGACGCCAGGTCCCCTCTGGCAGTTGCCCGGGGTGGGGAGGGGTCGAAACTAGGCATTCACTGCGTGCAGCTGAAGCCCTCCGAGCTCAGAGTCAGCAGGCTTTAGAAGAGGCTAGGTTGTGTTGGGCAGTGGACGGGGGAGGGCAGGAAAGAGAGAGTTTGTGGGAAACGGGGCTCAGTTCTCGGAAGAGGGGCTGCACCTGGGCCGCCCCGGTGCGCACCTGGGTGGACTCTGTCCGAGGGTGCGCTAGCGGAGGGGCTGGTGCGGCACTTTCGTTTCGACCCCAGGCCGCCGGGGCTGCTTTGATTCTCGGTCTCAGCGCTACCCCTTCCTCACCCCGGCCCAGTCCTTCCCTCGGTGAAAAGACTGGGCCCCTCTCCAACCCTGCTGGGGGCCCTCGGACCTCCTTACAGAGCCCACAAGGCGGCAGCGCCCTCACTGTCCGGTGTTGGGCAGTGGCACTGCCTTTGGCCACCCGCAGAGCCCAGCTCAGCCCAAGGCGCGCGTCCAGAGTCACGCTCTTGCTGGCAGGGACTCAGAGATTTCCTGGAGGCCGCTGTCCTTCCTTTCTACCCCGTCCCTCCCGCCCTTCCCGGGGCCCCTGGTCTCGCTGGTCTCCTGGTCTCCTGGTCTCCGTCGGTCCCCACGGTCCGGGGAGGGGCAATGAGTTACTGGGGCAAGGGGGTGGTCCCCTGTAAGACGCTTAGCCCCGCATTCAGACTGAGTTCCAGCCGGTGGAAAAAACACTGTTGTCCTCCTTTGGTCCGTTTAATCCAATTGCAACTCCCTAACTGATGCCCTTGCAACACGGACGATGCATCCCAATCAAGTTCACTGTGGGTCATTATCGCTTTTGGCTCCGCATATGTAGAATTCTACGTGCAGGGATGGACAAAAGTAGATTTACAGCCGTTGCTATGGGAAAAAACGCAATAATTAATAAATAATAACACAAGAATAAGCTGTGTTTCGAGTACTCAAAACTGTAAACCTACTATTGCCCACCCCTTCATAGATCTCCCGCTGATCTCTCCGCGCACTTGAGACCCACCCACCTCGTGAAAACCCTCCGGGTGATAACAGGACCACTGTAGCTGCTGCCTAATAGGGGCGCGCCTCCCCCGCTGGCTCGTGGCCAGAGCCAGCGTGTTCGTCCCAGCGAGCCTCGTCCTAGCACGAAAATGCGCGGCCACAGGCCCTGGTGGGTCAGGTCCCAAGAGGAGCAGAATCCCCCCTGCCCGGACCAGGCTCCTTCCAAACTGCCAGAGCGCGCTGGTCCGAGGCCGGGTCTCGAGCTTCCCGGGACAACAACGACCACACCGACTGGACACCAGACGCTCCCGCCGAGACTCCGCGCGACGAGATCGAAGTTCTGTCGCCTCCCCCCACCCCCACCCCCCAGCCGCCCGCCCGCTGCCGCGACCGGACGCGCGCGCGCCCCGTGGGAGGACGCTCCGCTGGCGCGCGCGGACAGCAGAGGGACCCCCGCACCGCCCCGGGGGCCCAGTTCCCAGGAGGGAGAGGCGGGCTCGTTGCCCTCCGCAGGCTCAGCTCTGCCCGCAGGAGAAGGGTCCTCAAAGGGTCCGGACGCCGCGGAGGAAAGCGCGAAGCCCCGAGTCCCGACGCCGGAGTGCGGAGCGGTCGGGTCGCCGCCGCCAGCCGCCCCTCCTCCCGCCGCCCGCACAATTCAGAGCCCCTTGCGAGGGACTGGGAAATAGTTGCCTTGTCATGTAATACATTGCCTGATTTATTATAAAATTTTAACGAAATCATGCATATTTTAACAGCCTTTAATCACTGCATGAAAATTTAATTCATGGACTGTAGCGCGTTTAAATAAATGAAGTGTTAATTCATTAGGATTAATTAATTTGTTAAAGGATTGTGTGCAAGGTTAAGGTGGAAAGAAAACTCTTTGTTGGTTTCGCGTCTTAATCGCCAGGTTCGTGCGTGGTAATAAAATAAAAAGAAACTGCAGAGTCCGTCGTTTCCTCCGGTGGGGACTGGGCGGGACCAACTGAAAGCGCCCCCCCCCCCGCCGCCCCCCAAACGCTGGAAACTCCGGCCGCAGGGGCACCGGGCGGGTCTGCGCTCCGGGCCGGCCAGTCGGGGGGAGGCGGGAGCGGCGCTGGCGGCGGGACAGGGGAGGGCTCGGGTCGCCGCCAGGGCTGGGGTCGCTGGAACCAGAGGGAGGGAAGCCGCGCCGAGCCCGGGCTGGCGGGCCAGCCCTCACCCGCTCTCCCCAGCCCCCACTCGGGCACAGAGATGACCCTGTGAGTGAGGCAGGTCGTGCCTTCTGGCCTCCCGAGCGCCGAGCCTCGGCTTAATGGACAGATGATGGGCCCGTCCTGCCACCTCCCGCCCCTTCCAGCGCCCAGGGAGTCGCTGTCTCGCCATCAGGCCGCCGGCCCCGGGCGAGGGGGAGCCGGGAGGCCGCGGGGACGCTCAGAGGGTGGAGGCGGGGCAAAGGCAAACTTGCAGGCTCAGGCTGGAGCCTCGCGGAGCCTTTTCCCACCGCGCCCAGACCTTAGGGAATAGTTCCTTCTGCACCTCCCGTGGGAGCAGGACGAACAGGCGCCCCGGGCGGCGCGGCGGCCCGCGGGAGAGAGGCCCGCCCCCGCCGAACTCGCTTTCCTCCTCGAAGACCCAACGCGAATAGAAGCCCGAGCTTCTACGCACTTGGTTAACCCAACGAACATTTATTAGTGGGGTCTGCTCTGCGTGGAAACACGGCAGACCTAGGAATCCACCGTCTTTGAAGAAGCAGCGCTTCGATTTAGGTATTCTAGACAGCCTCTCATCTGAAACTGAAAATCACCCCAGCCGGAGTTCCAGATGAATTCTTAAAAGAATGCTGCATTTAATAGATGCTTCCTCGCTCAGAGCTGGGTTCCGAGAATTAGGCAATAAAACGTTCACTATGCACTCTGAGATCACTGCTTAAAAGGTTTTCTCGCTGCCAAGTATTAGAAGGATCAGGTTACACCATGAGAGGCCTGGGCTGGGTTTCCGGACTCCCACAAATCGGAAGGGAAGACCTTCTTCGGAGGCTTTGGGAAACCTTCTGATCTAATAGGCCACATTCAATAAAGTTAAACTGTTAATCTCAGTGTGACGTTCTCTACAATATCATTAACAGGGGCAAAAGCAAGGGAAAACATGTAATGCATGTATTACTGTGAAGAACTGGACATGTAAGTATATGCTAAGAAGTTCCTGCAGCAGTTAGGGTTCAGGCCGAACTTCTTCTCTCGTTCTGTGTTAACTTTGGTTGTTTCAAACCGAGGGAAACACAGAAGAGATTACAGAAAAACAACGCAGATTTGAAATTAAGGGGCTATAAATCTTAAAGTCTAACATTTTGAGTTTTGGTCTCTCTGCGTAATAAAACAGGAGACTTGTTTTGGATGGGATGAAGAATTTGAAAATTAAAAGATAAAGAATAAAGGTCATGTCAAAATATTAGCATACGTCGTTAGCCATCGCATTTCAGAAAGATGAGCAGTCGACAGACAGATGCTGTTTTTATTTATAAAGACGTGAGCTGATGCGTGAGTGTTTGCGTCCTTCGTCACAAGTGCATCCTGGACTCACAGAGCCTTGGTGCTGTTTTCAAATCCATCTGAATGTCACTTAATGTGGATCTTCTTAAAAAGTGGCGCCCACTCCCATCACTGAGCTTCCACTTGCTAATTAAATGTTACTTGGAAAAGAAACATGCTAGTATTTCCAAAATATGCTTAAAAGAATCCTTGGAAACTTCATGCCCACTCACTCCTTGGCCTGGACGCGTGAGCGCTGGTGCGTGTGTAAAGCAGGCAGAGGCCCAGGCCCAACGCAGCTCTGGCCCGTTCCAGCTGCGCCTGTGATCGCTTATCTGTGAACCGGGGGTGACAGCTGGTTCACAGAATTTGAAGAGGATTATGAGACAGAGGCTAGCAAATTACTTGGTTTCAGTAAAAGATAGGGGCTTTTTTAGTGTATGTATATAATAGATATATTTTTAAAATGTAAGAACACTCTATTTTTCATGATACAGATTATGCTAAGACAAACGAGGGTGTGTGATTAAAATCCTGCCCAGGTTATTCCCTTCAACTGAGGAATTACAGGTTTGATTAGGATAGGAAGTACTGCTGTGGGGAGGATACAGCAGTGTTTCTGGAGCGGATGGGAAATAGGTCCTCTATAGACGCCCTCGCCCCGGGCAGGCTTAGTAAACCTGGGTAGGTGCGCTGGATTCCATGGCAGTGTCAGAATATGTCTGGATTCAAAACTGACACATTCATGGTACAGAAGAATTATACACAGAGTACAATAAAAAGCTTACCCTCGAATTTATTCTGTTCAGAAAAAACTTGAGATTTCTACATTTAATAAAATTTCAAATGTATAACCACATTGTCAAAGATGTTTAAACTGCTAATACCCCTAAAAGAACCCATTAGCTTTTAACATATCAGAGATAAAATGACACACAAATACTTACTGAAAAATATGTATGACTAAACAAAAAATGTTTTATTAGCTTTTTAAATGTTTTATTTTGGCTTGATTAGTGGAGGGCATGATTCCCCAAATCATAAAAATGATTTGTTATACTTCTACGGTTTTGTTGACTCCTTGAAGTCTATTAACACAGGGGTCAGCAAATGTTCCTCTATTTTAGGCTTTGTGAGATGTACGGTCTCTGTTGCAACTAGTCCATTATGCAACCGCAGTGCAAAAGCAGCCACAGATACTATGTAAACAAATGAGCGTAGCTACATTCTAATAAGACTTTACTCAGAAACAACGAAATCTGAGTTATAATTTTCCTGTGTTATGAAATATTCCCAGCATTAAAAAAACAATTAAAAAGTATATAAACTAGTTTTAGTTCATAGGCCTTTCACAAAAACAGGTGTAAGCCAGATTTGGTCCATGAGTCATAGTTTGTCAATTGTTTTTATTTTTTTTATTGTTGTTCAAGTACAGTTTTCCGCCTTTTCCCCCTTGTCAATTCTTATAAAAAATGGTAAGTCTGACTGGCCTTTATAGGCTAAGTCAGTATCTGAGACAACATCAAGGATTACAGTGCTCATGACACCCTTTAATTCAGTTCCCACAGAAGAGCATGCAGTATTCACGTGAAACAGCACGGCATTGATGTAAGATGCTCAGTGCATATTTGCTAAACAAGTCATTCCATACAAATCACTTTTAAAAGCCTGCATGGGCGTACCAAACACATGTTTGGTAATATGCTTTTCCAGAGCCTACATTATAAATTGTGCTTCGCTCACCTCTTCTTACCCCCCAACACTCTTCACCAAAAAAAAAACTTGTCCTATGTAAAAGATATTCTATTGGCCAATTGAAACTTCTTTTTCTTATGTAAGAAAGACAGTGCAAGCAAGAATGCTACCATGCATAGTTTTCACATGCAAACAAGGACTTGATCACTCCCCAAAAGCTTCCCCGGCAAAGACCCGCAGAAGTGGAGCCCGGACTGGTCAGTGAGAGCTTCTGCGCATGTCTATCCGGAACAAGAAGGCTACCATGTTGAGGCCCCTTGGAACCCAACTGTTCCATGTCTTCCTTCCAAAGCAGACTCAATTTTTGATTTTTCACTATACTGCACACAAAAAGATGAGCAAATGAAAGGTATCTCACATAAAACAAACATTTTTATATAGAAATGTAATCTTTCATAATAGCAAAAATGTTTTTTTACAAAAACTGAACAAGACACAACATTAAGGATGAAAATATACACCTAAAACCAAAAAAGAAGTGAATCTCGGTCTAAGGTTAGAACGCTATTTCTCCATGATGGCCTTGCATAAAAGTTAGGGCACCACTACACTTAAATAAATGGGAGCAGGCAAAATAATGCCCAGCCTAGGAAAAACTTTAAAGAAACACAAGTGTCTCCTGGGCAGTGTGTAGACAACACTTACAGTGTTATTTAAGAAATCCTGGTTCTGAAGACAACTGAGGCTCATTAATAGGCCTGTATGTAATGGTTATAACCATTATATCTAATGGTTATTGAAAAATCAAGACTGGAAACAAAATATATCCAAACCAGATACATGTAAGAGTTATTGAAAAGAAACTCTCTGCCTATCTTCTGGTCAAAAAGATTCCCAAATAAAAATGAAAAAGCACAAACTCTTCACAATGAATAAGAGCATTTTCTGGGTACACAGCCAGGGATGTCCAACCTTTTGGCATCTCTGGGCCACAGTGGAAGAAGAGTTGTCTTGGATCGCACATTAAATACACAAACACTAATGAAGACTGATGGACCAAAAAAAAAGCTTTTAAGTAAATTTCCGATGTTGCGGTGGGCCGCGTTCCTGGCGCTGCAGCCCATGCGCTGCAGGCCATGGGTTGGACACCCTTGGCCAGTACAGGCTAATCCACCGTATTCCAATGGCACTCGACTCAGAACTATCAATTCAAAATCAAAGAGAACCTTTACGAGGGGAAAAGTAACTTTAAACATTTATATTGTTCTAAGGACGAAAATATAAATGACACCTTTCTAATGAGTCAACTTTTAGTTGCTTTTGAAGGGCTGGCATTAGAAAGGCTGCTCTGAATTTTCCTTTTTGTTGATTGATTCACATTTTTATTTCTCTTCTCAGGCACGAAAGCAGCAGACCAAGGAGACTGAAGGTGGTTATGAAGACCATGCATCTCTGAGGACATCTTAAACAAAGACGAGCCAAAACTTTGATCTTCAAATAGCTGATGCGCACCACTCAACAGAACACCTGGGGAAAACTCAGTCTGAAACAAAGAGCTTGGGGGTTTGATTCCATTCGTTCCTGAGTTAGAACTGGGGTGGAGTGGGAAATCTTCACTCATTTCTTGGTCAGGTGGAGAGAGGAGGAAAAAGGAAGAGGGTTTCCACTCATTTCCATTTTCTGACTGATCAGTAGTTAGAGGACCTTTGGAAAGGTTTGGCTTAGTTCTTTCTTCCACCTTGCCTGGTTCCTCCAGAAATTCACTGCCTTGGGGGGACTTCAATACCCCGTCCAAGTCCAGTGGCTTAAAACCGTTACTACAGGGGCTCTTGCTGTTGTCTGACTCAGACATCATCGAATCCAGCTCAGAGATTTTGTCAAGGTAAGCCGCATCCATTGAGGCTTCGCTGGATGTTCTTGTCCGATTCATTTCCAAAGAGCGAAGAGAATTCAGCCTCTTGGATAAACAGGAGCCTGCTTTCTCACTCAGTTTTGAAGAAATTTCTCCAACAGTATTTGCAATTGTGTTCCCCTCTGAGCTTTCAAAATCCAAGCTCTGGGCATAGCTTGTGGAACAACAATCCCAAAACCCTGCCTTTGGGGAAGTAAAACATTCTGATTTCTTTTCAGTTTCGCTTTTATCATCTTCTGAAGAATCTTTACTACAGGCATTTGGAGAATCACAAAAATCATCAAACACCAGTTTTCTGAGATGGCGTGAGTGCTTTTTGGCCCCTCCTGCTTTGACCATAGAGCTCTCTCTGTTTTCTGGGGCATTGAGCTGAAGGCAACTCAGGGACAAAGGCGTACAAGGAGCTGGAAGATCATAAAGTTCATCTTTGTAGGGTGCACAGTCACTTGGCTTACTACCCCAGTCTCTTTCCAAGTAAGTATCCATACTTGTATCTGTCACACCTAACATTATTTCCACCTGCTTTTGATATAGGTCTTTGTTCTTCGAACACTTCAGGTCTGTTTTGCTGGCGCTTTCCTGCCGGGCAGAGCTGTTAGAAGGCTGTGCCAGGTGAGAACTCGAGGTCGATGAGCCAAGCTGCTTTCTGGCAGCATCACCTTGATTCTTGGACGGCACATCCTCCTCACTGCCGCTGCTCCCCTTGCCGTCGACAGAAAGTGCTCTCTGGCCAATGGAATTCAGAGCTTCCTTCTCTCCACTGGAATTTTTTAGCTGTGCAATCTGAGACTCTAGTTCCTCTATATACTTATCACTTCGTTCCAGGGCTTTCTTGAGGCGATTGGTTTCACGTTCGTACTGTTCTACTTTGGACTGAAGAGCAGCTACCGTAAACCTTCCAAACCTGCAAGGAATGGAAGAACAGTTAACCTTCCAGTTCAAGCTTTCTTCTTTCCTTTTTTTTTCAAAGTTTAAGAATGCTAATTGTCTCAGCACACTCTAATTTCACACAAGTGATACTTCAGACCACTCAGTGAAAGGGATAAAAGCAATGCCAGATATAGCATCCTAAAAAAAAAAAGGGTTTTCCCACTATTTAAATAATAAACATGATAATAATGGCGAAGGATCTACTAGAATACTTTGTGGTCAACTCAGGCCAGTGGTAGCAGAGAGGCAGAAACTCACTGGAGATTTCCCTTCCAAGAGCGAGCTCTATCAAGTCAGCTCATATAAGCATGAAGAGTTAGCCCCTAAAACAATGGCAAAGATTTATGATAACATTTGAACAGTGGTCCACATCTTGAAATATTTACATTCAATCATTTTCCTATCGTGCAGCAGTGTTTTATAATACATTTCTTATACAATGTCACCTTGTCAAACATAAAATGCCAATTTGAAATTTCAGAAATCTTAGCAGTCGCAGCAGGGATGGTTTTAAATACTTATTTGGACCCTTTCAATTACAGCCACGCGTGATCTGAAGCTTTTACTTGGCCTTTCTGAACACTGGGCTTTAATTCATTTCAGTTCTACTTATTTTTGGCATTTTACAATTTTGTGAAACATCAATCTCATTTCCTCCAACTTTGAAATATCAAGTCAGTGCTTATGGTTCCAATATGTTACATATAAAAACTTCTTCACGTTTTCGGAGTAGCATTCTGGAGAGCCACCGAAAAAGAACACATCAAAAAGCCATTCCTTTTACTCGGGATCATCTGGTTTTCGGTATTGCCTTAAGACTGGGCACTGGGCTCAGCCCAGAGAACAAGTTTTGAGGACGTAGCTTGGGCTGGTGGGCGTCTGGAGCATGAGATACAAAGAGCGACAGACTCTTCCAGCTTTAAGGGACATAAAAGGTCTCCTTAAACCCCATCGGACCACCAGGAAAATTTATCTTTCTGAAAACCACTTCGAAGCCTTATATTCTAACACCCTAAAAAATAACTTCGCTCTACAAAAGTTCTTTTCTTAGTCACTGCTTTGATTAATTAAATATTGATCCATGAAGAATTCAGGGGTTGTCTCTTTGGAGGAAGGTACTGGAAAAGGTGACTTCTTGAAATTGATTTTATCTCAGGGTTTATCTTTCTCTTTCTTTTTTCCCCTAATAAGAAGAATAATTACAATTAATAAAACACACTAAGTGTTAAAAACAACGATCAAAGAGAAGGAACCCACAGCAGTAAGTGCACCTCTCAGTCACCACCATGCGTTCCGTTCTGTGGCCCCCACTCCCTGCCCACCCCCTCCTACCACCTCCTCCTGCACGGCAGCTCAGTGCACTCTCCTGCTCGCCCTCACTATGATCCTGGCTCTCATCACTAAAGGAAGAAAGCAGGGGCAAAAGTAAATATAGATTCATAAAATCTCAAGGTTAGAGAGGGCCTTAAAAGACTTGTTGCTGAATATTGATCTACTCACTGCAATTAACTGAATTCTCAGAAAGAGCCTACTCCCTTCAACCTCTAAAAAGCAAAGCAAAAAGCCATAGGTACCATGAAAACAAAAGCAACTACAATAATGAGCCCCCCTGTTTTAAATACAAAATTTTCTACTACGACTATGAGTATTTGGTTGAATGAAAGATGGAAGTGTTTCCTTTGTTGAAGAAAAATATTTTGGTTTACAAGTGTCGTATTTAACAGAGCTATAGTTTCTGTAAGAAAAATTTTAAAAGTGGACAAAGCTCTTTAGTGCATTCAGCACAAAATCTGAGTTCTTGATGTAAGTATTCTGGAATAATCAAATAATCCACACATTTTTAAATGGAAAACTGTGTAGCGGTTTATTTAATGCACACGGAAAAAGTGATAGCCTTAAATTTGCTTACCAAGATAAAATGTGTTTTCTTAAGTACGATTTTTATCCTTAGCTGAAAAACAGCAAATGATTTAAAATCAAATAATGTTACTAGATAATAAGTTTGTTACCAAAAGGAACTCAGAAGCTTACATAAGGAAAGATGAGTGATAAATAAGAACCATTTCTTAAAATATTAGCAGCTTCTTATTTCAGGCTTTAGCCTAGAATTTCAAACATAATGCCACTGTAAGATGCTATATTTGCCCCTATGCGTTTTTAAAAAGAGTTTAAAAATGGTTCTGAGTCGAAGTCAAAATGATAGCCTTAACCGTACTTTCTGTGTGACTTCTGAAATGCAGCTGAAGGGCCACGAGAACCAGCGGCAGAGGCCAGCCACAGAGCACCTGTGAGATCACGCACGCAGAAGTCACCGACGAAGCTGGCTGTTGTCCGAAGGTCACCGCCCTCAAGTCCCCAAAGTCCCATTTCCATACTTCCATGATGGTAAGGGACAAGTGAACAGAAATGCACAGTGAAAGCATGGAACTGATCAGTGAATTGATCAGTCCATGTGATTTATTCCTCTGCCATCTCTCTCTTCCCCATTAGAGTACAAGCTCCAGGAAAGCGAGGAGTTTGACCATCTTACACTAACTGCTAGCTCCCTAAAACAACTCCTGGTACACAGCAATCCCTCATTAAATATTTCTTCAATGAATGTTACTTTTTTCTTATTTTAAAATACAGCAATGCTGCCCTGGCTGGTGTGGCTCAGTGGGTTGAGCGCCAGCCTGCAAAACAAAGGGTCGCTGGTTCGATTCCCAGTTTGGGCGCATGCCTGGGTTGAGGGCCAGGTACCCAGTTGGGGGCGTGTGAGAGGCAACCACACCCTGATGTTTCCCTCCCTCTCTCTCTCCCTGCCTTCCCCTCTCTCTAAAGAGCAGTAAATAAAATCTAAAAAACAACAAGGAAAAGACAGAGCCCGCACCACAGGATAAGCCAAAGGTCCTTGGGCCTCTTTTATGTGTACGTATCATGAGTTACTGTATTACCACACTAAATGTTTAATACATTCCACTGTTTTCTTTTTACTGACACCAAGGAAAGCAACAAAGTATGACATATATAGAGTGTATATGTATACATTTTTTATATATGTATATATAAAATATATATACATATTTTTTCACCATGACTTGCAATTATACAATGCTCCATCAAAAAATAAAAACAAAAAAACCCTTTCACTTTCACCTTAGCAAAAGAAGCAAATAGATGAGACTCCTGATGTAAGTAGCATGAATTTTTAGCTTACCCTAGATGCCTATATTAAATTTGGCAAAGAGCAATTGGTCATAGCGAGGTAACAATCAGGAATGCATATATGGTGCTAAACTTCCAAGGAAGAAGACGATGAGGATGAGGGCTTATTTACTTTGGGTTTTAATACTCTCTTCTTCACACTAATGCCAAACACAGCATCAGGGTACATGTCAGTAAATGAAGCAATGACAAGGGGGCCGGAGCCGGAGGGGTTTCTCACATCATTTACCACACTTCCTTTTCCTGAGTAAATTTCAAAATGGGAGTATTTTCATAAACATTCCATTAGAGACCAAAAGGCTTTGATTTTCCAAGTAGCAGTGATGGCCAAAGGCTTCATGATGTTAGAGAAAACATCGAGAGCAATGTGGGAGCTACAGCTAATATCGGAATCCAGAGAAGCTTAAAGGATTTTCCATCTTGCAATGTTCGCTGATGTGTACATTCTGGTTGAGGGCTCCCTTGTCCAATAAGCTACGAAAGAACAAGACTGCCCTTGCCCCGACTGGAAGTAAGAAACATGAAAGTCCTATTGGTTTCACCTGTGAGGCACTGTAACTATTTTAAGGGCATCTCCAACAAAAAAAGTTCCCAGGACCACATTTACTTATGGCCCATCACACAGGAGGAACAGAATTATGTTTGAAGGGGGTCAGAAGAAGGCAAATGTTGTAAAAGAATGAACGCCAAAACCAAGCATCAAAAGAACTGACAGCTCCTGCTATGCTGCCATTAACTGGTTGTGAAAACAAGGAATTTATTTTTTCTCTCTAGGGCTCAAAGGCATCCCCAACAAAAGAGAAAATGCAGCAGGCGCAGCACGTTGCTGAGACCACCACACTCCAGAAACATCATCTCGAGGAAAAAGGGGGACGCTGCCTCCCTTGCACCTTTTACACCTTTTCCTACTTGCTAGATAAAGTAATTGTGAAACAAAGTGAAAGCAATCTTTGGATCTGGACCAGCTTTTGCGATCTAGCCTGACAGATCTTCAGTGTCAATGTCCTTGCTCTACATGGTTCTCATATGTGCAAATTTCAGTTAGCAGTTTGATTAAGTAACACCAGTCATTCAACAACATGGTCAAGTTACGGCCAGCTTCTCAGTCCACAAAACACTGTAAATAACAGATGTGTATTACAATCAGTGACCAATCAGATCACTTGTTTCAAAGTCTGAAAGTGACTGGTCACTGTGATCTGTCATTCAGTTCACATACAGATGGCAGAACATGTAGTTATGCTGTAATAAGACATTTTACAAAAATGGATAATCAAAAGACAGAATTAGCCTACAAAGCTGAAGGTGCAACAAAGAAAGAAAAAGTGATTAACACCAGAAGTGAAATGAGAATCAAATGTAATGTAGTTATAGAAGATTAGCTGATCATGGGAATGTTGAAACTGTCACCATTTGAGAGCTCCTAGACATACTAGAGGAACTTGGGAGAGGCAAATTTACTGACATAAATGAGCAAAGTGGTTGGGACGAACAGACTAAAGATATCTAGAGGAAGTGACAAGCTGGCAGAAAACTTCACGTGAAAGCACCGTGCAGACATTTCACGGCACTGAAAGGACGAAGGATACAGGGCTGGGAGCTATGCAAACTTGGGAGTACGACAGTTCATTAAAACATCAGAGAAGATGCTAGTTTAATATATAAGTTACTCAATAAGGCGGTGAGCACCATTCAGATTATTCTCCACATTTTGTAACAAATACATTTTTTAAAGGTTTTATTTATTTTTAGGGAGAGGGGAAGGGAGGG